ATTCTCATTTCTATTCTCATTTTATTACAAACATGGCGCTATTATGCGTCATTTTTGCTTTATTTAATTACAGACAAGCAAATACATAAACAATTTCAGAGTTTTAGTAGTATATGAATAGATAGATGTTGGCCATTCGTTGCTGTGGTTATTCAATGGCAGGAGTGTGCGGAATTTTGTGTGTTATTATATTTGCTTTAAAAACCACAAGAAGTTATAAGCTGACTGTATGAGATTTGTTTCAGGTTAAGCTTCGGATTATTGCTCATGTTGTTGGATTACTATTTCCATCATGGAACAGCTACCAGGGGTCTCTCTCTAAGGCTGGATGTAGTAATTTATTACAGATGTTGCATACAATGCTGACTTTCAATTAGGGTATCTTCATTGAAATCAGTATTGCCTGCAACAAGAAGATGCACCTCCTTTGAACAAGCGAAATGGGATATACAAGATGATTAGAAAATTTTGCATTTCAGTGCATTATATCTCACAAATAATATTGCAAAAGAGGGGAAAACTGCACAGGAGTGTTAATAGTACCATGTGGATGCAAATGTCATAGTTGTTACATTTTGCCACTATGGGCGCTACTGTGGTATATTATGCATATTTTCCATGGGCATAAATGGCCTATCGATCGCAGTACAGTTCATTCAACTAACATGAACTGAAAAGTGTGCAAAGAGATGAACTAGTGAAGTGTTATTTCACAAAAGAATGCAATGCCAAAGTAGCTCTCAGTGAATACCACAGAATGCATAACATCCACAGAGGGCATTGTTCCAGTGTTACTGTATGTAAGTCCATAATAAAACTGAGGAGACAGGTTGCACTTATGATAAACCATGTACAGGCAGACCTGCAAAATCTTCTTTGTACTCATCCTGTGTAACACATTGGTTTACCTGATCTGCTGAATAATTAATTGCATCGTTGAGAGTTTCTAAATGGAGGACGAACTGATGACCAATGGATCAGTCAAATTTATGAAGCATGTGTACTT